GGTATGATGAAGGCAAACACTGGACTAAGAATGTAGATCAACAAGGGACAGACAGGTAATCCTCTGCCTCTGCCATCAGGAAACTCCCTGAGGGGCCTCTCACAGGCTCCTGGGTAAATTTAGTTCAGTCCTTTCCTGTCATCATAGAAGAAACCTCTTCCTAGAGCAGTTAAATAACTAAATGCCTATTCTGAAAAACCATACTGCTTGGTGTGATAGAGCAGCTATAGCAGAGAGAACAATAAATTCAGGAGAAATCATAAAGTGAATTTTTTGGCAAACTTCTATAAATGAACAAAGACCAAAATTAAAAATACGAATAAATGACCTTTTTTGTTTGTTTGTTTGTTTGTTTTTATTTTGTTTTTTGAGACAGGGTTTCTCTGTGTAGCTTTGTAGCTTTCCTGGAACTCACTCTGTAGCCCAGGCTGGCCTTGAACTTACAGAGATCCGCCTGGCTCTGCCTCCCGAGTGCTGGAATTAAAGGCATGTGCCACCACTGCCCCGCATAAAATGACATTCTCATTGAAGGCCTTGTAGACACAGGTGAGGACATAACAATAATCACACCAGAATCTTGGTATCCAAATTGGCCTCTTCAGGAGGTAAATGTTCAGCTTTTAGGGACTGGAACATTATCTCAAGTGAAATAAAGTGCAAGATGGGTTGAATATATAGGGCCAGGAGGACAGAGAGGAAAATTAAAGCCATATGTGGCTAATGTAGCTATGAATTTATGGGGGTATGATTTATTACAACAATGGAATACCCAGATTAACATCCCTCCAACCTCAGAAACAAACCATAAACTAACATGTTTCTGAGAAAAAATACAAGATATTATTAAGAACAGTAACTGACTATCCAGCTTGTACAAGAACAGGGCACAACAACTGATAATCTTTCAAAGACACCAACAGCCCTACCTTTAAAATGATTAACAGACAAGACTGTGTGGGTTCAGCAATGGCCTTTAACATCAGAGAAACAACAGGCCTTGGAAGAGCTAGTAAAAGAGCAGTTAAATGCTCAGCATATTGAAGAATCAACCAGCTCTTGGAATTCTCCTGTATTTGTTATTAAAAAGAAATCTGGTAAGTGGAGAATGGTAGCAGATTTATGAGCAATTAACAAGGTAATTCAGCCACTGGGCTTTCTACAATCTGGAATTCCTTTGCCTACTCTCTTACCTAAATGATGGCCTCTTATAGTTATCAATTTAAAAGATTGTTTCTTCTCAATACCCTTACAAGAAAAAGATAAAGATTTGCCTTCATGATGCCTACTTATAGTAATTCTCAGCCGGTTAAGAGATTTCAATGGAGAGGGTTCTCCCACAGGAAATGTTAAATAGCCCAACCCTATGTCAATATTTTGTATGACAGCGATTGGAAGTAATACGTAAACAATTTCCTAAATCTATAATTTATCATTACATGGATGATATTTTACTAGCTGATTCAATGCAGATAGATACCTTAGAATGTTTGAAGAAATAAAGAAAATTTTGCCTTGTTGGGGATTACAAATTGCTCCCAAAAAGATACAAAGAGGAGATTCTATTAATTATTTAGGATATAAAACAGGTCTACAGAAAATTAGACCCCAAAAGGTACAAATTAGGAGAAATCAATTACAGACTCTTAATGACTTTCAAAGATTATTCAGAGACATTTCCTATCTATGGACTACTGTTGGGGTAAAAAATGATGAACTGAGTAATTTGTTCAAAACCTTAGAAGGTGACAAGGACTTAAATAGTCCAAGAGAATTATCAGCTGAAGCTGAGAAAGAATTGGCCTTGGTGGAAAAGAAAATACAGGATGCACATGTGAATCGTGTGAATCCAAAGCTTGATTGCATTTTGGTTATTTTACCCTCTAAGCATTCTCCTACAGGAATTTTAATGCAGAGGGGAGATATTGTATTGGAATGGATATTTCTACCAAATAAACAGAGTAAAAAATTAAAAACTTACATAGAGAAGATCTCTGAGTTGATTTTAAAAGGAAAAATGAGACTTCATCAATTAGCAGGAATAGACCCAGTAGAGATTGCAGTACCTTTAACTAATGATGAAATTGACAAATTATGGGCAGAACGTGAACCTTGGCAAAGAGCTTGCAGTAATTTTTTTTTGGGAGAGATTAACAGCAAATATCCCCAAAGCGATAGAATCCAACTTATAAAGAGAGCTAACTGGATCCTGCCTCGAATTATATAGGAAACACCAATATCTGGAGCCCCTACATTTTATACAGATGCAAACAAATGCTGGGGGATGTCTTTCTGTATGCTGTGAATAAATGTTGTTCCCATTGGTTAATAAACTTCTTTGGCCTATGGCAAGGCAACTTAGAGGCAGGTGGGAAATCCAAGGAGAGAGATGGGAAAGAGAAGGGAAGAATCTGGAGAGAGATGCCAGCCACCACTCAAGGAACAACATGCCAGCAGACTGGTAAGCCACAGAACACTTGGCAAAACATAGATTAATAAAAATGGTTCATTTAAGATGAAAGAGCTAGCTAGCAAAAGGCCTGCCATAGACCATACAGTTTGTAAATAATATTAAGCCTCTGAGTGATTATTTTATAAGCAGCTGTGGGACCGCAGGGCTGGGCAGGACCGGAGAAAACTTACAGCTATACAAACCTATGTATTTTGTTGCAGCAGCCCTAGCAAACTGCTATACTCTTTCCATGACGAGCAAATCCTAACTTCTGAAAAGTTCTGAGGTCAACTGAGAGCTCTTGCTATGAAGCTGATAAACCTGTACAGCTGACCCTGGAGCCACTTCAGGCTGGCTTCCATAAGAAACTGGGACGCATGTCCTGTGGGGTTCTGATTCTTCCACTTTGAACCTAGCTAACAGAATGCCTGGCAGGAAGAAGGGAGGATTTCTATGCCCAAAGACGTAACAACTGGCTGAATGACCCAAGGCATAAGCGGGTTTCACTGCTTGGACTGACAAAAGGCGAAACTCCACCATTGGTCCTGATTCGTGCTTTAGTTAACAGGAACTCTCAGACAGGCCAGAGAGAAACACAAATTGCCATAGTATTTTTTTTTTTTTTTTTTTTTTGGTTTGGAAGGCAGTGTGGCAACCTCACAGCGTTAGCCTTATGAAACTGTTGTTTCTTTATGTCAAAGTGATTAAATACAACAATGTCACTTTATCCAACCAATATCAAAAAACTGTTCTTAAGGTGTTTGAGAGATGGGTCAGTGGTTAGTAGCACTAGCTGCTCTTCCAGATAACCTGGGTTTAGTTCTCAGCACCCACATGGTGGTTCACTACTATCCCTTACTCCAGTTCCAGGGGATGCAACACCCTCCTCTGACCTCTTTCGGGCACTAGGCACACATGTGTTATACATACATTCATGCCGTTTAAACACTCATATACATAATATAAAAATAAATCAATGTCACATTTTGAAATTAGCCTATGGAGATAAAGGCATTAGAATAATGTAGTTCTTCATAAAAGGAGTGTATTATATATAGCATTGTAGATAGGCATGGAGCAGAAGACCATTAGGAGGGACTCCAGCATTGAGGAGTTAATGGTTATCCACCTCAATTATGGAATATTACCAAACAAATACTAAACTGTATCTACCTATTTGGAAGATGACTGGGACATTAAATCAGAAAAAAGGGACACAATATCCCCTTTAGAAAGACCCTGAGGCTGGGGACTGCTCATCGCAGAGTGCATGCTTAACATGGGTGAGGCTGGGGTTTAATCCTCAGCAGAAATGAACATGGGAGTGAAGAAATAAAATGAGTCTCATTTGGTCAGAAATAGGGAAATCCTTTCTGTGTATTTCTGAATGGTCACAGAAAAGGAGTAAAAAACAGCCACTCACAGTTGTGAATGCGAAGAGGAGGCCGCAGAGGAGAAGACGACAAGGTTAAAACATTTCTGTGTGCTTTCTTTCTATCACATGGCTTACAGAGACTTGACCAAGGTTGGTGATTCGTAAACAAATACCGTGTGGGTTGCCAGCCAAGAGCTCAAATGATACTGAGATCCAGCACTCCCTGTGCCACATGCTGGTACTAATGTGAGACACAAAGATGGGAAATGAGAGGGACAAGAGGAGGGGAAAAGCTGGCCACTCAAACATCTGGCTGGTCCTACTGGGGATCAGAAACGTCAACATGAAATGTTGAGACTGCCTATGGAGATGCCGGGTGTTCCATCTCAGACAAGGCTGTTTAAAGAATGGTTGTGACTTTGAGTTCTAAAGAAGGCCTGAGCACCCCCTTCTGCCCTAACACTGAGCAATGTCCCTCAGGAAGCCTCCTTAAGATTTCATTTATGAAGGACTGTCTTTAGGAGAAAGAAAACCAGCTCTCACACACACACACCCCCACACACCCCACCCTGCGCGCCAATCTTTAAGCTTAGGTGTAAATTACATTCTTTGAGCAATGCGACTTAGGGATGGTGAAGCCACCCAAGGGCATAGTTTTCTACAGGTCTCACGTCAATCTAAAGCAGGTGTCAAACCTCACCTCTAATAAACTAGCTGACTTGCTCCCCTGATTCCCCGGAAGCCTTCTGCCCTCGTCAAGGATGGGACTTCACATGAAGGAGGTCCTGAGCTGGGAACTCCTTAGGTGGCTGGCAGCAAGCGGTGTAAGCTGCCATAACTATGTTGTAACTTATTATTTACAAAATATACTCTTAGATGTCATGGCTGCTGGCCTTCTTTGTTAAGGCTTCAGAGAAGCTAGCACCTGCCTCTCCCAGGGACATGACATCAGCAGCAGTTAGCTTAACTAACGCGGGCCAGAGGTGGCAGGATTTTGCCTGAATTAACTGGGTAATTTCTTGATTTCTTTGGTTCTGATCTTGCAAACATAAATCGGGTTCTTCAGTAAAAAATATTTTTATTATTTAGAACACAGCGAGATGCCTACACGCACACAAACCCCTCCCACTGTCCCTCCCCTGCTGTGCTGTGACCCTCTGTAGATCCAAGGCTGCTCCTCCCTCGAGAAGTCCGGCCCTCTCCGACCGCCCAGCCAAAGTCGAGTCTGGCGCTCAGTTGAGGATTCACCGCGGCCTCCCAGGGAAGGAGTTTCTGCGAGCTTCTGTAAGTAGATACTCTGCTGTTTTTGGTCCCTCTCCCTTTTCTCTTCCCTCCCCCGACTAGTTCTTTCTCCCCGCTGAGCATCTAGAGCCTCCTTGAGCAAGTGAGCGCTGGCGGTCCTCCCTCTCCCACCCCACCGGTGCGCAATGATCCCTGGGTTCTGCACTCAGGAAGTTAGGGAGCCCAGGATCGCCTCCCGGTCCCTGCAGGTTCTTGGAGAGACTGAGACCTAGGAGATGGGCAAAGTCTGCCGGCAGTCCGATCGTACGTACATGCCGCGGAACTTCCAGCACCTTGGAAAGTCTGGGCTAGGATTTTGCAGGATTGCTAAACTGAAGCTGGTAAAGCAGGGGATTCGCGCATGTGCAGTACGAAGCCAGGCGAGCTGGCCAGGGCTTGCACCAAGGCGCTGTACTAGAACCCTTTTCAAAGGTGTCCTTCTAGACTTGTGGCAAGTTCAGAAGGACCAGGCGCTGCCTTTTTGAAAATAGAGACGGAATATGCAGTCTTGAAACAAAACGGAAATCCTCCTGTGAGATGGTTCTGCGGGTGAAGGTGAGTGCCAGCCAAGTCCTACAACCCGAGTTCCATACCTGGAACCCTCAGGTGGAAGGCGCGAACCCACTCCTGAAGGTGGTCTTCCGGCATGCGCCCTCACCCACACACCTGCATCATGCACACACAAAATAATGGTAACAATAAACTAGACTGAAGCTGAGCTTGGTGGAGCGTGCCTGTTGTCCCAGCGTGTGGGATCAAGACAACGGAGGGTTCCGAAACAGCCTCTGCAACATGATGATGAGTTCAAGGCCAACCTGGGCTACACAGCCAAGCCCTGTGTCAGAAAAACAACAAATTGAACTCGGAAATATGGGGTAGAATGATCGTTATCAGAGGTTGTAATCGGAGGCTTTTCTCTGTCCCGCCCCGGTCCGCAGCTGCTTCTAAATAATCACTTAAAGGCTTATAGTAATTATAAATGCTCGGCCCAGAAAGACATCCCACAGCAAGAGGCTGAGAAAGGTTGGAAGTGTTGGTCAAAGGGCACGACAGGAGTGTGACTCTTGGCAACAATTATTAATTCAAAACAAGCAGGTTTCAAATGTCTCACCGTAAAATGGTAGGTGAAGAAGATGATGGGTGTGTTAAGCACTCTACATTGCATACACTGTGTCCTATCAATATAAGCTGTTATCTGTCAGTTAAAAACCTTACTGGGGGTGGGGGGTGGGGGGGAGGGGTTGGAGAGATGACTCAGCAGTTAAGAGCACTTGTACTCACAGAACTCTGGGTTTCGATTATCAGCACCACATGATGGCACATGTGAGGATCGGATAGCAAGATCACTAAGTGGTATTGATTGTTTTTGCTCTTTTGGGGGGCCTGTCCCCCAGTTCCCAAATAAATCACACAGGGAGGCTTACTCTTAATTATAAATGCCTGGCCTTAGCTTGACTTGTTGTTATGTGAACCCATGAGAGCCTGTTAAAAGATCACAAGAATTTATTAAGGTATAAAATGGGGATAATAGGTTCACTGATACCGAATAAGGAAGAGTCTGCCATTCATCCAGCCGTCATTGTCCTCTGTTCTGCCCAGGGGCAATGGGAACCAACCATCCTGCTCCACCCCCCTAAGAGAGAGCAGGACCCCTATTCCTCTGTTCTTAGGGCTTTGTACCCCTAAGCCATTGGCTGAAAGGAACGAATTCCCACAACAGCTTGTTGCTAGCCAGCTTTTCTTAACTTTAAATTATCCCATCTATCTTTGGCCTTGGGGCTTTTATCTTCCTCTAATCCTGCATACCTTTTCTTTCCTTCTTACTCTGTGTCTGGCTGTGTGGCTGGCCCCTGAAGTCTCCCTCCTTCCTCTCTTTTTCCTTCTTCTTCCTTCCAGATTTCTCCTTTTATTTCTTCTCTCTGCCTGCCAATCCCGCCTTTCCCTTCTCCTGCCTTGCTGTTCAGCTCTTTATTAGACCATCAGGTGTTTTAGACAGGCACAGTAACACAGCTTCACAGAGTTAAACAAATGCAACATAAACAAAAGTAACACGCCTTAAAATAATATTCGACCACAACTAAGGCCAGCCTGGGCTTCAAGAACCCCTGTCTAAAGCAGAGACAAGTAGATGGGAAGACCTGGGCTTTGGATTCGCTGGCTCACTGCCCTCCTGTCAGGCTCTTTCCAAGAGTGAGAGGGACACAGTGAACAAACTTGTCAGCCTTGCGTGCTTATCTGGAGAATTCACTGAGGTCCACAAGATGATGTGTAGTTCTGTGCCACAAACCTTTTAAAGCACAGAGCCGTTTCGATTATTTGTTCGTTTTGCCTGGAGGCAAGTTTAAACAAAATAGTTTCCATATCGGAGCCAAACCCAGAGAAAATGAGATGGAGCAGCGGCGCCCCCCAGTGGCTATGAGGTCCATGCATCTGTAGGGGAAAAAAGGCATGGACTTTGGTCCCTGTATTTGAGGCATTTCCTAGAGATTCACTGAAGGAGATCGAGAAACTGCTGGACTTTGCACGCCCATTAGTTGTTTAATGTCCTAGAGAAACTCCAGTTTGGCCCGGACAGAATTTGTCAGTCTGCATCTTTGCCTTGAGAATTTGTTTTAGCCTGTTTCCACATCGGTACACCTGAAGTGATTGATAACAACGACTCTTACAGAAAAGTCATGGGACTAAAATGAGATCAGATATATGAAGTGCCTAGCATAATCCCAAAAAGTTCTAAATGGATGTGATAAAATGATAATAGGGTTGTGTTTTCTGGCCTCAGTGCTATGCCTAGGGGTTATAAGATGGTCATTGACCACATGTTTACCATGTTCTAGGTACATCAGGATGGTGCAGGCCAAGAGCTGGACCCTGAAGAAGCACTTTGAAGGCTTCCCTACTGACAGTAACTTCGAGTTGAGGACTACTGAACTCCCGCCCTTAAAAGATGGAGGTAATGCAGAGCTGGCAGAGGCCGTATCAGCTAGCTTCTGCCATCTAGTGGAAAACCCCGACTTTGACTTCAGATGTTTTCTTTATTGGTTTACAGTTCTGAGTGTTAGCCGTTTAGGTTGGTCTAAGCTGAGTGGTTCCTTGTAGGTCTCACCTGGGCTAAATGGTTAGTTACTTTAGGATAAAGTCTCATTCACCTGCCTAATGATAGAAGGCTTTCTGCCTGGTCCAGGCTGCAGTTCTCCGCTTTGTGAACAGCCAGATTGGGTTCTTTTCTTGCAGTGGTCTTGTGAATGTAGAACCTGGGTCTTGTGGATGTAGAACAGCCTGGGTTGGTGAGCTCCAGTGTTCAAGGACTCTTCAAGCCTCTACTTACATGGCTTTTCTTTTTTTTTTTTTTTTTTGGATTTTTCGAGACAGGGTTTCTCTGTGTAGCTTTGCGCCTCTCCTGGAACTCACTTGGTAGCCCAGGCTGGCCTCGAACTCACAGAGATCCTCCTGGCTCTGCCTCCCGAGTGCTGGGATTAAAGGCGTGCGCCACCACCGCCCGGCTTACATGGCTTTTCTTAAAATCCCATGGGTCAAGGCAAGTTGTCCAGATTCAGTGGCTGGCAAATCTATTTCTTTTTCTTTTTTTGCTGCCACCTCTTTCTCCTCTTCCTCATGATTTCAGGCAACCACTGGGCTTCATCCTCAACCCATGGAAGCAGATGTCTTGATTGAAAGAGTGGCCAGGAGGCCAGCACACAGTGGTGGGAGGGGTTTGTGACCATTTTGCAATCTGCTACATAAACCTTTTTAGTTTTTTTTTTCTATGCAGTTTTAATGTCATCGTGGGTCCCCCTCCCCAGTGTGTTTGATGAAGCTCATGTGTGGGTACCTTATCCACGGCTTTGACAGAGGAGGAAGTCTCCTCTGTCCTGGCAAGCCTGTGATGATGGTGTGATAAGCATTTCTCAGCAGCTGTGCCCAGAGCCCAGCCTAGGAGCCGTGTCTGAAGGGTGTTACAGTGAGTAAGCTTCTGAGACCAGGCTGCAGTCACTTCCCACGACAGAGTCACTGACTGAGTTTAACTGGCAGTGGCCAAAACTTGGATTCAAAGTTCCAGAAAGTACACAGTTGAAGGTCGCTTTAGCAAAATGCATCTTCTTTTGTATTGATTGATAGTATTTTACTAACTTGCTGTCCTGGTTAGTTTGTGTTGAGCAGGTGGTCTGTGGGAGCTCGTTTTCAGGTTCCTCATGGCTTTACCCAGCAGGTCTGCATAGAGAAGATGATTAGGACCACGGGCCTGAGTGCAGGTGTCTGAGATGGTCTGCACTTGGCTGTGCTGGCGGGGGGGGGGGGGGGGGGGGGGGGGGGGGGGGTGTCTTTTGCTCCACCCCTTGGTGTCTCTATAAATACCCTAGGGCAGAGACAGTCAGGGCCCCTTGGAATAGGTTCCAGGCCCTCTCGAGGCTCTCCTGTGTTTTCTGTTCATCTCCACAATCTAAATCCTTCTATCTAATATTTCCTGCTGCTCGCACTCAAGAAAACTCTGGGGAACCGTGGGGTTGGTGGGTAAACGCCCTGCAGTGGTCCTGGGTTATATAAGGAAGCAGCCTGAATAGTGACAGTAAGCCAGGAAGCAGAGTTCCTTCATGGCCTGTGCTTCAATTCCTGCCTCCAGGTTCCTTCCTGGAGCTCCTGCCCCGATGTCCCTTTATAGTAGACTCTGATTGGGGCAGGTGAGCTGAAGTACACCTTTCCTCCCCAAGTTGGTTTTGGCCATGATCTTTATGACAGCAGTAGGAAGCTAAGACATCACGTGAACACTGTATTATGCCACCGTAAGTTACTTAACTTGACCTTAAATAGGATGGGACAGTAGTTGAAAACATCAAACGAATTGATCCACTTAAAATAGTACTTAAAATAGTACAGTACATATCGTCGTCGTCATCATCATCATCATCATCATCAACTGGGCCGGGCCAAATGTGAAAGCCCTTCTTATCTTCAGTGGGGAGCTGGAAGTGAAGCTCATGGTAAGGGAGTTTCCCCTGCATGCACAAGGCTCTGGAATCTATCCACAGCACAGTAAAATTAATCCTGCATAGCACAGAGGAGAGGTGGCCCCTACGCGGAAAGACTAGGCCTCTTTATTCAGAATGCCAGAATATTGCAGCTGTCAGAGCCTGGGTCGCTAACTGCATCTGGATGCTTTATTTTGTAGAGGTCCTGCTGGAAGCCCTTTTCCTCTCCGTGGATCCTTACATGAGGTACGGTCTCCTTCCTCAGTTTTTCCTGTTGTTCGTTGGTCCATCAGTTGAAGCACCGTGGCTCATCTTTTAGGATAGGCCATGATTACAACGGCAGCCTTTCCCCTGCGTCTTCCTGTATTGTAGCCGGGATGAGATTCAAGGGTGCTCATCTTCTGTAGGCAGAGGCCCGCTGTGCACAGTTTACCCTTCATTGCTCAGTGCTCTCCAGGAGAGACGGGGAAAGGAGGCGGGAGCTAGCCCCCGACTTGTCCATTTCCTACTGCAACAGTTGAGCAGAAGGAGCCAAGACTTAAGCCAGCGCCTCTTGCCTTCTCTTTGCCAGTATGTTTTTATTGTGTGGTTCATAGTTGACTCAAACATATGACTCAAAACACTGGAGGGCAGAGAGGGGGTAAATGCCTTTCAATGGTGCTTCAGCAAACTGTTAACCTAGGTAAGTAATACAGGCATCACATAGTATTTTTCCCCTAGCTGAATAGCGAAGAGTCAACTCTTGGTTGAAACCTACCATTTAAAGATGTTAACTAGCAATTGGGCATGGTAGCTTATACCCTGAGAAGCTAATGCAGGAAGACCACAAGTTCAAAACCAGTCATAGAAAGAGCCTGCTAAACAAAACAAAATGGTAATTAGCATCCTTTGGGGGGTGGTTAGTGTTGGGGTAACAGATACCAGCCAGGCCCATGTTGTATTTTGAATATTGTAGGCAGAAACTCACCTCCAGTTGAACAGAGTGGTAAGATTCTCGAATTCATTCATAGAATGCGTATTTTGGGGTCACACTGTGTCTCAACTGGTTGTGCTGCCCTGGTATGGTGGGTGTTGTCTTGTCCCAGCATTTTGCCATTGATATCAAGATATTTTCCTCCATATAGTCTTGCACACTATGAATCTGGTTTGTTTTGTTTTTTTTCAGAGTTGCATCAAAAAGACTGAAAGAGGGTGATAGGATGATGGGTGAGCAAGTGGCCAGGTCAGTGTTTACACCCGCCCTGGCGTTTGGGTAAATGTCCTCCAGCTCCTGCCGGGTCTGTCTGTCTGTTGTCCTACAGCTTCTTCTCCAGTCTATGTGGTTCACTAGGAAACAACTGGGGAAGGCCGGCCCGCCCCCTTCTTAACCGAGAGGGATGGAAGGATGATGTGGCTGTGACCGAATATCTTAAAGAAATGACTAAAGGGGAGGATTGGCTCGTTTGGGTTCATTGTTTCATAGGACTCAGCATGTGGCCCTTGTCTCTGCTGATTCCGAGCCTGCGGTGAGAAGGACCATGGCAGGAGGAGCCTCTAGGAGAGTCTCCTTGCCTCTTGGCAGACACAGGGTGTGGTGGTGGTGGTGGTGGTGGTGGTGGTATCGAGCTGGGCTAGCTGATGGCTGGTTTTGTTTTTCTTTGCCCCACCCCACTCCCCATCTATGTATCCCTGGCTGCCTTGAAACTCAGTCTGTAGACCAGACTGGCCTTGAACTCCTGCCTCTGCCTCCCGAGTGCTGGGATTAAGGCGTGCACCACTACAGCCCGGCTTTCTTTGCTCTTTTATTCCCCTCCTGGCACACATCCTGCCAGGGGTAAGCACGGACTAATCTGCGCTTCTCAAGCAGTCTAGTTGACAACATTCACTATCGTGGATGTAGGATTGTCGTTTTAGCCTCTCTGCCATCCTGACTTTTAATGATGTAAATAGAGCTTTATATATTTAATTCACGATTATTGTAAAATACAAATAAATTGAAATCTGAAAATGGAAAGTCCCCCCCCCCCCCAGTCGGTTGTTAGTGTATTATTTCAAAACCTGGTAAGTACAGACTTCTACTTTGAATAAGATTATATGCCTGCCAGCAAATTGGCTTTTCTCAGTAAATCTACACTGTTTGTTGTCAGTGCGTAAATATACCATCTATATTTTTTAAAAGCTATAGATTATTCCATTACATTCTTCCATTTAATTAAATCTGCTACTGATAACAGCTATTTTCAAAGTTTTTTACTTTTTGTAGAAATTCTACAAAAGTAATTCTTCATGAAGTTTGTGTGTGTGTGTGTGTGTGTGTGTGTGTGTGTGTGTGTGTGTGTATGTGTGTGCACACATGTGCCTGCTGTTTCAAAAACAATAACAATAATTAGTTAAAATGTAATTTACATTAGGAATGATATTGTCAAAAAAAAAACTACTGATGGAGTAATCAAATTTAACAATTTGAAGTTATACAGTTTCCAAAGGAATCTTTTTTTTTTTTTCAATGTTTTCCTTCGAGACAGGGTTTCTCTGTGTAGCCCTGGAACTCAGCTCTGTAGACCAGGCTAGTCTCAAACTCATAGAGATCCACCTGCCTCTGTCTCCTAAGTGCTAGGATTAAAGGAGTGTGGCACCCTGTCCAGATCTAAAGGATTCTTAATAACACAAAAAATATAAATTATATATAAACTAATCTAATGTTGAGGGAGAATTAGGTTGCAAAACATTACTTTAGTTATGTAAGTATACATTATATGTTTTAAATCTATCATTAAGATTACCTTGAAACATAACAAAATATTAGCTGTTATCTTCATGTCGTAGGATTATAGTTGATATTTTTGTTTGATTTTTTTTAAAGCATTAAAAATTTTGCCTAAAATTGTGGTGCTTGTGACCCAACTCAGGGCTACATGCATGCCAGGCAGGAACTGTACTCCTGAGCTAAGTTTTCAGTCTAATATTTTCATTTTATTTAAATTTTCTGAAGTAAATGTGATCTATAGCTAGCTTGTGGGGAAGGCAGTCAAGAAGTAAGGTATGGGAGCCGGATGGTGGTGGCGCACGCCTTTAATCCCAGCACTCGGGAGGCAGAGGCAGGTGGATCTCTGTGAGTTCGAGGCCAGCCTGGTCTCCAAAGCGAGTTCCAGGAAAGGCGCAAAGCTACACAGAGAAACCCTGTGTCGAAAAACCAAAAAAAAAAAAAAAAAAAAAGTAAGGGATGGGAGAGAGGAGCTGCAAGAAACCCGTCGATGAGGCAGAAAAGAGGCGGCTTAGAGAGGAAAGAAAGAAGGCCAGGAGAAAGAAGCCAGTGTCCTGGGAACCGCCAGGCAGAGTAGAGAAGTCGGATAGTGAGTGGGAATAGCCCGACAAGTTGAGTTCCATCCCTAGAACCTATGACGGACAGAGACCGGACTCTGAACAGTTGTCCTCTGACCTCCACACCTGTACCATGACACCTGTGTTCTTCTCCTTACAATGAATAATAAGTAAATAAAATTCAAAGTTGAAAAAAAAATAGCCACTATGTTTTTCAATCAGAAGGTTGTAACCTCAGTGGACTGGTGAAGGTGGAGAGCATGTTGTTCTGGTTTATCATGTGAATGGAAAATGAGGAAATTTGGCTATAAAATTGAGACGATGGAGGGGGAAAATGAGATTATAAAATGGCCGAGTTGTGCTTTCTTACAGCTGAGAGAAAGGATGACAGAGAAGGAAATTGTTAACAATGCAAGAGAAAAGAGGACTTAGGAGACAGGGTGGGGGGGTCTATAGAGGATAGAGGCACCTGGAGCCGGAGGACAGAGGACGCTTGCTAAAAAGAAGGGAAGTGGGCCGGGACAGGGATTGGTGCTGGACCAGTTGAGACTCTTCTCTGATGGCTCCCACATGGCTAAGAATTAAGGAGAGATTCCTCAGAGTGTCAGTCATGGACTGTTTAGCTCAGTGCCCTCTTGTGAACATTCCCTACAAAGCATCCTGACCCCCAAGAATAGGAAAAGATATCACATGTCTTACTGTACTTTTATCTTTCAGGGTTGTGGAAAGTAAAAACCCAGCCTTCCCCACAGGAACCATAGTAGTGGCGTTACTAGGCTGGACATCACATTCCATTTCTGACGGGAAAGGACTGAGAAAACTGCCTGCAGGGTGGCCAGACAAGTTACCACTGTCTTTGGCTTTGGGAACAGTTGGCATGCCAGGGTAAGTGTCATGGGTATGTTTTGTTTGTCAGAATGTCTAACATTATAACTTAACCAGTAGGAGAGACTTAAGGCACAAAGGCTGATTAGAGAAAAGTGTTAGGAATAAGAAAGGAGGAGCTCAAACTGAGAAGACTCTGTTAAGTGGATGAATAAAGAGAATGTCATATATAAAAGAATACTATGTAACCTTTAAAAAGAAGGAAACCTTGGCATTTATGATAACATAGACGAACTCGGAGGACATTAAGTGAAGTAAGTCAGGTACAGAAAGACAAATTCCACATGATCTCATTTTCATCTTGTGTCAGCTTCTATTTATGTGAGAAATACCTGAGAGCAACAACATCAGGTGAGGAATCTTTTCTTCTGGACCATGGTTTCAGTTCATTTGCACATTTGTTTTAAGCCTGGGGCAAGGTGGACAATCATGGTATAAGGAGAATGATGGGGCAGAATTGTCTATCTGATGGCATCCAGGAAGAAGAGAAAGACAAGAAGGAGCCAAAGATGAGATGTATCTTGCTAGAGCTTTGTCCTCAGTGACCCACTTCCTCTGACTAGTTCCCATCTCCTAATAATGCCATCATAGTATGAATCCATCATGGGATTAATGCATGATTACATCAGAGCTCTCATGGTTTAATCACTTTGCCAAAACTCCATCTCTGAACACTGCTCCATTGGAAACCAAGCCTTTGGCAGAAGAGCCTTGGGGAGGAGTCAGCTCATCTCCAAACTGCGGCATAAGTGAGATCTAGAAAGTTGAACCAATAGATGCTGAGAGTATAGTGATGGGGATTGAGAGACATGTTGGTCCAAAGACACAAATTTTATTTATTTTTATGTGGGGAGTGTAACTCAAGACAAGGTTTCTCTATGTAGCCCTGGCTGTCCTAGAGCTCACTCTGTAGACCAGGCTGGCTTCGAATTCACAGAAATCTGCCTGCCTCTGCTTCCTGAGTGCTGGGATTAAAGGCATGCACCACCACCTGGCATCTTCTTACTTTTAAAAAAAATTTATTTGGACAGGAGACATATGTTCAAGGAATCTGTCTTACAGCAGGATGAGTGTAGTTTACAACAATAAATAAGGTTGGAAATTACTGTGAAGACAGATTTGAAGTGTACTGACCACAGAAATGATAACTATGTGAAGAAACATGTATGTTAATTAGCTTAATTTAGATATTCTACTGTATATGTATATTTAAAACATGCTACATACTATGCATATGTGTTTTTATATATCTACATTTATGCAGTTCCTCCTTGTCAGTTAAAGCTAAGCCAGTATTATTCTTGAGGCTAAATGAAAGAAGGAGAAGTTGGGTCGAAGATGCCTCACTTCTTAAATGCTCCATCACCTCTCAGTGTTGCCAAGGTGGGAAATCATTTTGTAGCACACAGGAGACATGGGAGTCCCAACTGTCTTCTGTGATCCCACCTACTCAGAGAGTTGAGGCAGGAGGATCATGTGTTGAAGGCCAGCTTGAGATATAGCTAGACCCTATCTTTACAAAATGTCAAGCCAGGCCTGGTTGCGCATGCCTTTAATCCCAGCACTTGGGAGGCAGAAGCAGGTGGATCTTTGTGAGTTCAAAGCCAGCCTGGTCTACAAAGTGAGTTCCAGGAAAGGCTCCAAAACTACACAGAGAAACCCTGTCTCGAAAAACTAAAAAAAAAAAAAAAAAAAAAAAAAAAAAGTCTGAGATAGGTAGATGGTGTTGTATCTGTCTTTTGAAAAATACTAAATTAAGGGGGTGTTAGGTGCAGCATGCATCTTTTGATGACAGGATGCTCTGGAAAGTAAACCACGAGTAGATTTCTTCATAGTTTTGCAAACTAAACTTACACAAACCGAGATAGCTCCAGTGTCCTTAGATGATGTCATCTTACACAGTGTCACTGTACATTCCGTCTGCCACTGGCCAACACGCTGTTCGGCAGCTCATGACAGTATGTGGGTCCTCAGAAAAAGGATGTCTCTGCCTAACAACTCTCAGGGCTCCAACCATAGGAAGAAGCTGAATAGGCTAAAATTGTGCCAATATTTCTTAATCAGGCAGCCTTGACTTTACCATGCATCTGTCAGAAATTTTTGCAGGTGGCTTAATACATATGAATTTCATTGGCTTTAAATCAAGGATGCAATTTTTTTTTTCTTCTGCTGAACTTATTTTTATCTCATCCCCTTGTTTTGACTTTGTATTTTGGGGCTTCAGTTAATTACAGTGGATTTTCATATCAAGTCAAATTTAAAACTCAGGGCTAATACAAGAGCAATGCTGGTAGTGGGGGATAACTATTTATTGGTCTTGATTGGCCTTATGCTGCCCTCCTCTTCAAAGTCTAACTTTTCCATGGCTCCTCTCCATGGGGAGAGGACAGACTGAATCTATTCCCACATCCTTATGTTCTTTCCTTAGCCTCACTGCCTACTTTGGCCTGCTTGACATCTGTGGCGTGAAGGGTGGAGAAACAGTGATGGTCAACGCAGCAGCAGGAGCAGTGGGCTCTGTTGTGGGGCAGATAGCCAAGCTCAAGGTCAGTGTCGTCCTCTAGCCATCCCTCTGCAAGACCCACAGCGTGTACTGGGAATGCAGCAGTGAATACAGAGGACCTTCTGGACTCAAGGGGTGTACAATCAACTTGCTGGGGCTTGTTCAGAAGTTAGAAGTTGAGAAAGGGGAGAATGAGGAAAAGAGAACAGCGAAGATGAGCTGACTACTAGTGTTGACTGAGAACACTGCAGACAGCAAGTCAGGCGTGGGCCCATATATATATAAATATATATAATATGTTTCATTATTACATATAAACATATGTGTGTGTGTGTGTTTTGTTTTGTTTTTTACTACACATTCTCTTGCTCAGTTTAATTGCCTTCCTTCATGATTATTCCGGGAATACAAAGAGGGACTTCAGGTCAGCCAAACCAGGAGTCATCACCCACATGGCTCTACTGTAAAGGCTGTTGCACCAGAAAGAAATGAGCAGTCAGCTTAGGGTGGTGGGGGTGGTTATTGTTTGGGAACTAGCCCCGGAAACAGAAATATAAGCAGAGTGTAGGCTCCTGTTTGGGCAGCTCTCTGCTCAAGGGATCCAGTTTGACGGTGAGTGTGCAGGAGAGTGGGCAGCTAGACCTGGTCAGGATTTGTTTTCTCATAGTGGGGTTGTTCTCAGGTGACCTAGCTGGGTGATGTAGCTTTGCCAAAGGCTTCTGTAAGGACTTAGGACATGTCCTCATGGGGCAAGATAAGTGGAATAGAGTTGAATGTAGGGTTATACCCAATAGCCAAGGGCTGGCCCCTATTTCTAATAGGAGTTTGAACACAAATGAGGTTGTGGAAAATATTTAGGTAAGTAAGTACATAAGTGGGTAAAGAAGCTGAATCTTTTTTTTTTTTTTTTTTTTTTTTTTTTTTTTTTTTTTGGTTTTTCGAGACAGGGTTTCTCTGTGTAGCTTTGCGCCTTTCCTGGAACTCGCTTTGGAGACCAGGCTGGCCTCGAACTCACAGAGATCCGCCTGGCTCTGCCTCCCGAGTGCTGGGATTAAAGGCGTGCGCCACCACCGCCCGGCAAGAAGCTGAATCTTATAAACAGTGTTTCAGCTTTTCTCATGTTAACTTTATAACCAACGAGTTACATTTGTTTTCCAACATCATTCTAGCATTCCAGGATTCAAGAAATAGTGGCATACTATAGATTTATACATTTGGAATTGAGAGTAGCTTTTGGGGTATGACTGATAATTGAACCCAGGGTCTAGTACATGCTGAGCACAGGTCCTACCACTGAGATTTACCCCAATCCCTGATTTAAAGAGAATTTTGCCTCTATCTTTACACATGAGTTTGATTTGTAGTTTTGTTTTTTCTCTTTCTAAACTCAGAAGGTTTAGCTATATTTAGCATAGACTAGATTTACAAAATTAGTTAGAAGTATTTCTAATATTTAAATTGCAAGTGTTTTATTAAAAATATGGAGGGCTATAGAGATGACTCGGTGGGTAATGGGCCTTGCTATACCTACCTGATGACCTGAGTGCAATCTCTGATATAAAGGTGCAAGGAGAAAGGGAGAACCAACCCCACAAAGTTGTCTTCTGACCTCCACATATGTGCTGTTGCATGCATGTACCCATACTCACATATCATGAGTGCATACACATGATTAATAATAAATATAGAATTTTAAAAATACCCGAGAGAGGGAAAATGATGTTTTAAAGCAGCATTGCACTGTGCTGAAGAGATAGCTCAGCAGTTACAAACACTGCTGCTCTTCCAGGGGACCCAAGTTCAGTTCTCAGCACCCACATGGCTCACAATCAACTGTATATCCAGATCTAGAGGATCTGATGCCCTCTTCTGGCCTTCCTACACACCTGCATATGTGTGTAGGAAGGGGGGTCCTGACCTCATCAATGGATCAACCTATTGATAGATTCATTTGATGGTTTGATGGCATTGTTGGTAAATGCAAGAGCTTAGGTGGAAGAAGTAGGTCATTGGAATTGTCTTTGAAAGTTGTTCTAGATTCTTCTTGTCTGTCTCTGTCTCTCTTTCTTCTGGCTGCCATAGTTGAGTGGCTTCCTAATGTCCTACCCTTCTGCTGTGATAAACATAATATACATTCCAGAAACACAGAGCCAAGAGACTACGGAGTAAAGCGTCTGAAACTGTGAGCAGTTGTTTTCTCAGGTGTCTGGTCATAGTGTGGAAACGTTGGTTAGCACACGGTGTGTGCTTGAGCAACCTGCTGTAGAAAACTGGGAAAGTGGAATTGGGCCATGCTTCTGCTTCACTAATGGTCTACACTTTTTCCCCACTTAGGGCTGCAAAGTTGTTGGTGCAGCAGGGTCCGATGAAAAGGTTGCCTATCTTAAGAAGCTCGGATTCGATGCTGCCTTTAACTACAAGACAGTAAAGTCTTTGGCAGAAGCTTTGAAAACGGCCTCTCCTGATGGCTATGATTGCTATTTTGACAATGTAAGTACAACCTGAGCTTACCTGACTTACCAATAGTGTATTACATAAAGGAACATGTTTCTAAAGTTTCCATCTAGAATAAATGAATCAAGTATACTCTTTAGGGGGGAAAAGATTTGTTAAGATGCACAGACCAGGCATTCATTCATTTAAACTGCATAGCCAGATATGGTAGCTATGCCTATAATCCCAACATTCATGATACTGAGGCAGGAGGAGAGCAGGCTCAAGGCAAGTCTGGGCTTCCTAGTGAGACCATGCCCCCCATATCAACCACTGAATAAATAAATAAATAAATAAATAAACCAACAGTTGGCTTTTAGGCTAAGGTTGTAAATCAGTAATAGGGCTTGTTGCCTACCACGTACACAGCCCTGTGTCCAAACCCAGCACTGCAGAAGAAAGGGAGTTAGCATTCAGATCTTAACCACTTTTAGTACCAAACTGTCTGTATGACCACAGTTGTTGAATATGTATCATTCTCCAAAGAAACATCAATCATCAGTTACCTCCTTGTTTTTTTCCCCACTCAAAAATGTGTTCTTTTGTTCCTGGCTTCTTTCACTTAGCAAAATGATTCCAGATCCATCCATGTTGGAGTAGGTATTAGTACTTCATTCTTTTTTATGAGCGAATGATATTTCATTGAATGGATATACCACATTTTCTATCTATTCATCAGTTGATAGGTGTCTGTGATTTCTTTACACTTTTTGGTCATTGTGTGTAATGCTACTATGAACATTCACAAACAAATTTTTGTTTGACTTTGTTTTCATTTCTCTTGGATATTCATGTATGAGTAGAATTGCTAGGTCATATGGAAACTTCATGTTTACATTTTGAGGAATTGCCAAAGTATTTTTGCAAAGTGACTGCACTGTCGTATATTCCTACCAGTGGCCTCAAAGGGTTAGAATTTTTCCGTAGCCTTAATGCCACCTGTAATGACTGGTTTCTTATGTCCATCTTAACCTGTTTGAAGTGATTTCAGTCTGGTTTTGACAGTTCCTTGTGACAGATGACACTAAAGATTGCTGATGGACATATGTGTATCATGTTTGGGGAAATGTGTCCAGAACTTTGGCCTAGCTTTCAACTGGGTTATCTGAGTTCTTTATGTATGAGTACACGTTTCTTCATTGCAGTTCATTTTCATTATTTGCAGTAGTTGTGTTCTGTAAAGTCTCCAGGAACACCGAACTATGGCTCCTAGGAGAAATGTCTACACGTGACCATGCCTCATGTGGATTATAATCTTTAATCCTAAAACCCCCCTCCTTTTTTGTAGCATGTTTATTTTACAAAAGAGAAATGAGGTTCAGAAGTGTTATCCTAAGCTGAAGTGTTAAGTAACTTGCCCTTACACCCACAAGGTCGACATCCATTCTCTACTCCCTCTGCGAAGACCCCAGGCTCCACTGTCGCCATCCTTTGGCTATCTCTGTGTGACAGGAAGGCAGAGCATCACCTTGCTCATTCAGTCTCTGATGAGACTGCCTGTGTCTGCAAATGACCTGGGACCCATTTTGAAGGCACAGACGAGTCTTAGCAAGGAATATGGTTCGTAAATATGAGTTCCTGTGAGAATGAAGATTGACTGTATATGGTTTTCAGAATTTTTCTCCAGCTCTGTGAGCTGTCTTCATTCTCCAAATGGTATCCTCAGAATTGCAGATGTTTCAATTACTTCCTTGGTTGGTTGGGCATTTACTGTGCTGTCTAAGGATGCTGCCTTCTTGGGGTCACTGATACTTGCTCCTTGCCTCTGCTAAGAGTTTAGATGTTAGTTCTGACACTCCTGTCTGTGTTACATATTCAGTAGTCTGAGTGTATAGTCCTGGAGAGCCACTTCTGAACTTTACCATGTGGATGTGCAGTTCTGCACCAGTGGTTAAGGCTTTCCCCCTTGTCAACTGTCTTGGCATTCATTCATGTGGAAAACCAGTTGATGGTAAATGTAAGGTTCCCTGTGGATTCAGTTTGGCTCCGCTGACCTGTATTTCTATTTTCATGTTGTTTTAACTGAGTTTTGCAGTGTATTTTGAAATTTGAAAGTGTAAGTCCTGTAGCTTTGTTCTTCAAATGCCTTTTGAGTATTTATATACCTTTAGATTATAGGACAGTGAGACTATTGGGCTATGGAGAACATTATGGTATTTAATACACTAGCTTTGTGCTATATAAAGTATGTTCCTAAGGTCAAATGAAAATGTTCCTTTTTTCAAACCATTTCACATAACCCATGCTGGCCTCAGACTCACTATGTAGCTGAGAATAACCTCAAAGTTTGGATCCTCCTGCCTCCACCTCCTGGAAATGTCCATTTTTGATATGTATTTTAGCTACAATCATTACAACTGCTGTCCTGATTTAGTCAATTTTGTTGATTCTCCTAAGTGGATTTTTAAAATGATTTAAAGTGTTTTGCGTTTTGGCTGTTTGTTTTTTGACTGTCTACTTAGGTAGGTGGAGAGTTTTCAAACACCGTTATAGCGCAGATGAAGACCTTTGGGAGAATTGCCATCTGCGGAGCGATCTCTCAGTACAACCGCACTGGTGCATGTCCCCCAGGTATTCTGCTCCTGCACGTAGGAGGGCTGGACAAAGATTCACAGATACGGGACGGGGCGGGAGTAGCTGTCACATCTTCACAGGTGTGGGCTGACCTCCTAGAGCAGCAAGACATCTGCGTCTGATGAGGGAGGCCTGACAGTCTCCCTGACCACCCGCCCACCCACCCGCCTGCCACACACACTCTTTGATCGGCCTCTTCTATTTCTCTTGTGCTCTCCATCTCTCTCTTCTTCTCTTTCTTGTACTGAAATCCCTCCCTCCCTCTCCTTTATCCTCCCAGAGCCCTATAGTCCTTGCTTCTGGGCTGTGAGGGATCTTGGGCAAGCCTCTGCTACAAGATGAATGGCTGACACAAAATCAAGCTCGGTGCTTCGACTCCTCACATAAGGTCCTTCTCTGGTATCAGAATGACAGATTGATTTGAGGCCCCCAAGGAGAAAGAAGAAGAAAAAGGGATCTTTGTGCCTCTAATCAGGGTAGGGGTAACCACAGGCCAAATGGTTACTTCTTCAGTTCTGGGCTTGGCTAGTGTGGATAAAATCCCATAGCACTGATTAACAGCAGAACTGCCTGGAAACAGTGGAGCTTAGAGCAGGTGGGACCTCGGAAGGACTGATCAGATTCCCTCCTGAGTTATGGAAAATCAAAACACTATCTTCTCCAGCCAGGAAATTCCAGAATACCTTGGCAATCTCATTGATAGGGACAACCCTCCTCCCGCCCCCATCTTCTTTTGCAACTGATGCTAAGGTAGAATCATGGGAAATCATCTGTCTGCCCACCAAAGAGAGTGTCAGGATACATTTTCTTAACCATCGTCTAAATAGGTACAACCAAATATTTCTGGACATAGTAATTTGATCTAATGTTTTTAGCAACTAGTCTTTGGAATTTCTGCTACTTAGATAGCTCTTAGTGATGGCAGCTGACCTTGTCTGTTTTCATCAGATAGGAGTCTGCTTTGCTTCTGAGGCCCAGAGATCTTAGCACATTCCAGTATCACTATAGCTAGAGATAAGTCAGTAAGTACTTCCACCAACTTATAACCATATTTGCTTTGTTGAACTCAAAAAAGAAACCAGTGTTCCTGTCAGGATGCTCAGCAACAGTATTTCAGCCTCTTTCAAGATGAAGAAGCGAAGGTTCCTGTGTGTGGGTGGTGTGTGTGTGTGGGTGTGTGTGAAGGTCAGAGGTCAACCTTAGGGAGCTTCGCAATTGCTCTCCATTTTATTTTTTGAGACTGTTGTCTCTCACGGAAGCTGGAACTTATCAGTTCATCTAAATGGCTGGCCAATGAGTTCAAGGGATCCTTCTGCCTAGAGTTACAGATTCGAATTGCTGTGCTTGGGATCTGAGCTCATGTTCTTATGCCTGCAAAAGAAAAGGCAAGCACTTTTCTGACTGAGCCGTTTCCCTAGCCCAGGTTGAACCTTTAACTCAAAAGGAAATAAGGTTGCTATGGGCCATTTGAAGAAGCGCCATGCTGCAGAGGTGGTCTGAGCATGGACTTCGTTATAACTTAATGTATCTATTCTGGGTGGGGCCCGTCCCAGCGTTTACATATGTCACTCATCATGTGCCAGTTTCTATTGGTTCTAGACAAGGCTCCATTTCCCTGACTATAAATGGTACTTTCTTCAAAGTAGTGAGTGGAGACTTCAGCCTTCAGTGACACCCATTGTCCAAGATGCCGAAGATGCATTGCTTCTGTTCTTCCGGCCCTGCTATTCCGTATGCACGCTTCAGCTGACTCCTGGAGAGAGTGCGACTCCAACCCTGCATCATGCTTTCAGCTGCTGGCTCCCAGGCAACCAGTGCTGCCTTCCCCTCGCTGCTCTCTTTTTCTCTCACCGAGTCTGGGGTTTGGGGCGTGGATGGCTTTGGGGCCATTATTCTCCCTGGCACAGTTAGTGGTGGTCGGCAACAGCCCTGTGGACCAGAAAGGAGTGGAGGAAACAGAATGGGGGAGCGTCTTGGAGAACCATGACAGTGTGTCTCACTGTGTCCCTGGACCCTGCCCCACAAATGAATCATCCTTTTCCAGGCCCACCCCCAGAAGTCGTTATTTACCAGCAACTCCGCATGGAGGGGTTCATCGTTACTCGCTGGGAAGGAGATGTCCGCCTGAAGGCTCTGACAGACTTGATGAATTGGGTCTCAGAGGTAAGGGGACTCAGCCACTCCCGCTGCCCACCAGCTCCCACAGGCTTTTGCAACTCACAACCGGAAGTCCTTCAGTTCTTCCCTTTCCTGCTGCATTGTTTCCCCTTGTCTGCTGGATCAGTGTTTTCAGAAATAAATATTCTTTCCTCATCTTAGAAAAGAAAACAAATTTCTTTAAATTTCTTGCTTGGGGGTTGGGGGTGAAGGCAGTGACGAAACCAGTGAGTCACTGTGTATCCCAGGCTAATCTCAAACTCAGTGATATTCTTGTCTCGGCATCCTGAATGCTGAAGTTACAGACACGCACCTTTGTGTCCATAGCTCTGAATTTCATTGCTATCCAAACCCATTCATTTCATAACAAAATACCTAGAGCTAGTGTTATCTATATTTACACATATAGTTTGTTTGTTTCTTTGTTTTTTGCTTGTTTTTTCTTGATTCAGGGTTTCCCTGTGTAACAGCTCTGGCTGTCCTGGAACTTCCTTTGTAGACCAGGCTGGCCTTGAACTCACAGAGATCCTCCTTTGATATCTAGGATATCAAAGGCATATGCCACCACCACCCAGCTCTTTCTTTCCTTCTTTCTCTTCCCTTCCTTCCTTCCTTCCTTCCTTCCTTCCTTCCTTCCTTCCTTCCTTCCTTCCTTCCTTTTGTTCTAAGTAACTGGTGACACACAGAACTTCTTGGTTAGAAGGGAGAACAAGGTGTAAGTTCCTGGGTATTTACATGTCTTGAACAGGCCCCACCTCTTGCGGTCTTACTTCCGGTGTAGTGTTTCCTGTCATTTGACTACTAGATGTGACGAAAGCAGCATCCGTTGAAGGGGCACCTTCCTCACCCACTCTTCTGAGATCATCGCACTGTTGAACTTGTCTGTTCAGCGGACTTAGGAATGGCACAGTTGTTGCCGGATGGTTACCATTTTTCCTGTTATTACACTGTAATTGTGATGCATGCGCTCGGTCCGTAGATCCTGTTATCCACGGATAAGAGGGCCTACATCCCAGACTTTCAAGGTTCTCACGGTGGACCTGATAAATCTGTTGCTGGGATGAGAAGAGAATGTCATTTGGAAAAGGAAATCAACCTGTAATTGTTGCTTCACTGCAGGGTAAAATCCAGTATCACGAATATGTCCTTGAAGGATTTGAAAAGATGCCAGCAGCCTTCATGGGAATGCTGAGAGGAGAGAATCTGGGGAAGGCGATAGTGAGAGCATGAAAAGAAATGGCACGCGCATCGTCACTGAGGATCAGATTCTTTAACGTTTGATACAAACGTGTACTGTCTTATATCAGAAATAACTGCAAGGGGTTTGGCCTATCTAATAAAATGTACATGTGATTTTCTTTTTAAATGTGTGATAGAGAATGAAAATCTGACAAACAGCAGCAGGTCTGTTTCTGCCTGCTTCAGCTCCTCCAAGCTGACTGTAAGAAATAACGGCTTTGGTGTCTGTTCTAATGTCTTTTCTCTTTCTGTAATGAAAGCAATTTAGAGGAGGGAAGGGTTTGCTTGCTTACACTTTCTGGTCACAGTCAGTCACTGTGAGAAACTAGGGGAGAAACTTGTAGGCAGGCCTGCTTTGGATTCTATTAGCGTGGCCTCTCACCAGGGAACTCGCAGCCACGGACATCCAGCACAGACTGTGGTGGAACACTGCTTGCTAGCTAGCTCAGGCAGGCTGGTGCTCTGCCAGCTTTCTCTTATAGTCCGAGATTGCCTGCCTAGGGAATGGCACCTCCCACAGTGGGCTTAGCCTCCTACATCAATTAGTAATAAAACAGTCCTCCACAGACCTGGCCACAGGCCAGTCGGACTGAAGCGGTTCTTCATTGGAGGCTCTGTACTCAGGCGATTTCTGAGTCGTGCTGAGATGAAAGTTAAAGCTAGCTCTGACAGTGTCTGAAGCTCAGAGTGACCTGACTCCGTGCAGAAGCTGGTGCATTTGGAGGCATGAGGTTTCCACTCCAACTGCTTACAATGATACTAGGAGAAAAACAAAACGAATCCACCACACAGTGCTGGTGTCTGGAGGTCCCAGTGCCAGCCTACACTGGTATGCTATGTGGTAAGGCTAATGCCACACAACAAGTCAAGGAATCTGCCATTCGCAACAGCTGGAACTGAGGCGTGTTAGACAGGGTGAGAGACAAACTTTGTATTGTACACTGGTGCTTTTTGAATCCTGAACATTCTGGAAAAATTTGCTGATGAATACAATTAAAAACTAAAATTGCTCGCTTTTGTGCCTTTTCTATCTCCCTCCCCCTCTTTTTTTTTCCTTTTTTTTTTTTTTTTTTTTTTTTTGGAGACAGGGTTTCTCTGTGTAGCTCTGGCTATCCTAGCACTCACTCTGTAGACCAGGCTGGCCCCAAACTCAGCTATCCACCTGCCTCTGCCTCCCAAGTGCTGGGATTAAAGGTGTGTGCCATCACTGCCCAGCTGCATCTTCTCTTCTCAAACTGTTTAGTCCTAAAGATAAGAATTGGGACAACAGGTCTACGGCCATACCACCCTGAACGCTCCCGATCTCGTCTGATCTCGGAAGCTAAGCAGGGTCGGGCCTGGTTAGTACTTGGATGGGAGACCGCCTGGGAATACCGGGTGCTGTAGGCTTAAAAAGCAAAAAAAAAAAAAAAAAGAATTGGGACAACAGGTGCCTGGCTGCTGGGGGTTGGAGTGGAGAAGCCCCATGGCCCGGAGCAGACTGAACTTATTGATGGAGGTCGGTTGCCCGGGATACAGAGTCAGAGAGTAGGGTGGGCTGGGCTGGGAGTGAATTGTGGCTTAATGAAGAGACTCGGAATCCTAAACCAAGTGATTGGACCAAATGAAGAGGGCTCCTTGTGTCAGTGGGGTTCTCCAAGCCTAAGGATGAGGAAGCCATCGGTGTGTGTGTGGGGGGGGGGGAAGTGGCATGATGAAGGTACTGGAGTGTGGGAGCCCGTTCTCGGGTTCCTCGTGGCTTTACCCAGCAGGTCCGCATAGAGGATGATTAGGACCACGGGCCTGAGTGCAGGTGTCTGAGATGGGCTGCACTTGGCTGTGCTAGGGGAGGAGGTCTTTTGCTCCACCCACTGGCGTCTCTATAAAAACCCTGGGGCAGAGACAGTCAGGGCCCGTTGGAATAGGTTCCAGGCCCTCTCGAGGCTATCCTTTATTTTCTATCTGTTTATCTCCGCGATATTCTCCGCAATAAATCCTTCTATCTAATATTTCCTGCTGCTCGCACTCAAGAAAACTCTGGGGAACTGTGGGGGTGGTTGGGTAAACGCCCCACAGAATGGCGCCATGAACAGGGACTAAAGAAAAAAGAAAAAAAGGGGACTAAAGAAAAAAAAGGGGGGACTAAAGACAAATGAACAGGGACTAAAGACAAAGTAATAGGGACTAAAGATAAAGGAAAATAATAGTTTTCTTACAGAGTTTTTGGCGAAAGTGCTGAGTCAGCCCTGCCAGTGGATAAGGCATGCCGGTGTTATGGAAAATATATATTTCATATATATTATTGAGAGGCAGGGGTTTTATCCTCGAGAGAAAAGGAAAGCGGACTGGGAGGATGTCCGATGCTGCAGCGAAATTCTCTTCTGTCAAAATTTTCTATCTTGTATCGCTTTCTCAATTTCTATCTGTGAAAAAATAAGTATAAGGCATAGGGTAGTAAAATAGTGTAGGAAAAACTTAGAAGTGTAAGATTGTGTAGAAAAAATAAGTAAGGCAACTAGACAGAAAAACTCTTCAATTTTCTAACTTTGAGGGCTCTGAATGCAAACTGGGGGAAAATATCTTTCTTTGGGCTTTACGGGTAGTAAAAAAGCTCTTCTCTGAGCTTATGGGGAAGAAAAAGTTTCCTATGGAAGCTTTTGACCTGGGGACAGCTGAAATGCTAAGTCCAAGCGGCAGGAGAAAGTGATTTCTCCCTGAGGCAAAAATGGGGATGTAAAAAGCCAAAGTTTAAAGTTGGGAAGTTTTGGGAAAAGTTGGTCTTTCTTTCTCCTAGGGGGAAAAAAATCTTTCTCTTAAACTATAAAGCTTTTCTTGGAAAATTTGGGGGGAAAAAACTCTCTAAAAAGCCTTCATCTTTCTCAAAAGCTCTTAAAAACTAAAGCCTTTAACTTTCTCAGAAGGGCAAAAATTAGAATCACCTGAAGATATTAGTATGGGGACCACCTGTGATTAGCTCTAAGGGAAAACAGCAAACCTCTTAAGACAGCAAAACCTCTCTAAGTTGTCTTTCAAGCTTTAAAAATCCTCCCTGCAATGCAGGAGACAAGGACAAGTTCCTAAAAACCTCTAAGCTCTGTCTCTTCAAGCTGGTAAAAGGCAGTGGGTCAGAGTCCCCTGAGGGAAACACTTGGGAGAGTGTGGGTAAAGAGCTACAGAGAGCCCAAAAGGGCCAGAAACTTTACCTGAGAAAAGCAAAAATGCCAAGCTTTTCAGTTATAGCCGAGCTGAGGCATCAAGGGTTTTGTTTGAGTTTTTCAGAAAGAAAAGGTGCTCCTAATCGTCCTAATGCAAAGATCCCCTGAAGCAATGCAAACTGTTAGCATTGTATCCTCGCTTCTGACCAAAAACCCAGAGGCAACTGGCCAGCATCTCTGAGTTGGAGTGCATTTCGGGGATACTAGGGTTCCTGCAGTTGTAAACTTCCAGGAGCACAGAGCTGAGGCAGGAAGGTGCAGGACCCAGGGGAAGATTGCCAATGAACAAAGCTAAAGCCAGTGGGAATGGCACAGTTGCCAGCTTTCCTACAAGTCCCGGTTGATAGGTCCACAGCTGCAAAAAGAAGAGAAAAAGCTTTCCTATCAGAGTAAGGACCTTTCTGGGAAAACAGTAAAGCTGAACTGTGTCTGAAG